TTTTTGGTTTTTCAAGACAGGGTTTCTCTGTGTAGCCCTGGCTGTCCTGGAACTCACTCTTTAGACCAGGCTGGCCTCGAATTCAGAAATCCACCTGCCTCTGCTTCCCAAGTGCTGGGATTAAAGGCGTGTGCCACCACCGCCCGGCTCAATTTTCTGAGGAACCGCCAGACTGCTTTCTATAGTGGTTGTATCAGCTTACAATCCCACCAACGATGGAGGAGTGTTCCTCTTTCTCCACATCCTCGCCAACATCTGCTGTCATCTGTGTTTTTGATCTTAGCCATTCTGACTGGTGTGAGGTGGAATCTCAGTGTTGTTTTCATTTGCATTTCCCTGATGACTAGGGATGCTGAACACTTCTTTAGGTGCTTCTCAACCATTTGAGCTTCCTCAGTTGAGAATTCTTTGTTCAGCTCTGTGCCCCATTTTTTAATAGGGTTATTTGATTGTCTAGAGTCTAATTTCTTCAGTTCTTTGTATACCTTGGATTATTAGCCCTCTATCAGATGTAGGGTTAAGGAAGATCTTTTCCCAATTTGTTGGTTGCTGTTAAAGCAATATTTTGAGAACCCAAGTAAAACAGTGGCCTTGGCAATTACCTAAACAATTTTACATATGTAAAATTATTTAATTTTATCTCTCCAAAATGGTTCAGCAGTTAAGAACACTGGCTGCTCTTTCAGAACACCAGAATTTGATTCCCAGCACCCACATGGTGGCTCAAAATTATCTGCAACTCAGGTCTCAACACTCACCTGACTTACATTTGAATTCCAGGGGTATCTTTTTTTTTGTTTTGTTTTGTTTTTTAGGTTTTTTGAGACAAGATTTCTCTGTATAGCCCTGGCTGTCCTGGAACTCACTCTGTAGACCAGGCTGGCCTCGATCTCAGAAATCCACCTGCCTCTGCCTCCCAAGTGCTGGGATTAAAGGCGTGCGCCACCACCGCCTGGCAAGTTCCAGGGGTATCTAACATCTTCTTCTGACCTACATGGGTGCCCAAATACACAATCATACACATATATAAAAATAAAAATTGTAACTTTTGTTTTCCGTACTTGGGGGCACATACTTTTAATCTCAACACTTGGGAAGCTGAGACAGGTGGATTTCTATGAGTTTGCTGCCAGCCTGGTCTACAAGTGAGTCCCAGGACAGCCAGGACCTGTGAGAACTTGCCTCAAACAAACAATTAAAAAGTTCAAGAAAACAAATGAACAGAAACTGTCCAAAGGCATTCAATGATATAGTGAGATTTGAACCTCAGAGTCTGTTTTTCACCGGGAGAAACTGACTTTTGCTCTAGATGAAATGGAAAGTCACTGGAGAGTTCTGAGCACAGTAATAACATAATCTAACATTAAAAAATACAGCAGCTTTTATTGAGCTATAATTCACATGCCGTAACATTCACTGTCTTATAGAAGGCATATAGTACAGTGATATGTTTACTCTGTTTACATAGTCGTACAACTATCACCACTACCTAATTTTAAAATGTCTTCACTATATCAAACAGAAGTCCTATACTCTTCAAAAGTCACTTTTCGCTCGGTCCTTTGTAACTGCAAATTTAATTTCTGTTTCTATCCATTTGCCAATTCTAAATATTTCATAGTAATGTAATTATACAATGTATGTCTTTTCTCTTTTTTTTGTTTTTTTTGAGAATGTATGTCTTTTCATGATTGGCTTTTCATATAGCATAAAGTTTTCATACATATTGTAGCATGTAACGGTCCTTCCTCATCTTTTTTAATTTTATAAACCTTATTATAAAAAACAAACTTGGCCGGGTGGTGGTGGCTCACGCCTTTAATCCCAGCACTTGGGAGGCAGAGACAGGCGGATTTCTGAGTTCGAGGCCAGCCTGGTCTACAGAGTGAGTTCCAGGACAGCCAGGGCTACACAGAGAAACCCTGTCTTGAAAAATTAAAAAAAAAAAAGAAAAAACAAACTTTGCAAATAAGCATCACACATTAGAATCAACCAGACCCAGAGACTAAGATCTCAGTGACTTCTCTACAGTTGGAGAAGCTGTCCTGTGGCTGTGGAGCTTCACATTGTTTGTTTCTGCTGTCATCATCTGCCAAAAATGAAAAAAAAAATCCACAGCAGAATTAGAACTAGGAAACAACTAGCTTTAAGTTGTCCTATGTAGTAACTCATGACCATTGAGTCCTTTCTTATCCCCGGTACTTAGCCTTTTTATCCTCTTGTCTATATACTTATATTGTACCCATAAATACAGCTTTTTACATATAAGATACATTATTGCCTAGATTCTGCATATGAGAGAAAACGTATTCCTTTCTGAGATTGTGTGACTTTGTTTAAAATTATACATCCTAAATCTATCCATTTTCTGCAAGTTTTGTAATTTTTTTGTTTGTTTTTCGAGACAGGGTTTCTCTGTGTAGTCTTGGCTGTCCTGGAACTCATTCTGTAGACCAGGCTGGCCTCGAACTCAGAAATCTGCCTGCCTCTGCCTCCCAAGTGCTGGGACTAAAGGCTTGCACCACCACTGCCCGGCAATTTTGTTCTTTTTTAGAGCTGAATAGCATTCCATTTCATGTACATATCAAATATTCATTATTTATTCATCTGTTGATCATCGAGATTGGTTCCAGTTCTTTGGTCTAGTAAATAAAGCACTATTTTATCCTTTTTTTTGTCAAATCATTCTTTGTTTTATACACACACATTTGTTCCCATTGAGTTGATTCCTTCATCGTCAAGAGTCATTGAGGCCATCCCCATTTGGTGGCTATGAATACTGATGGTCAAATTATACCATTCCTATAAACAAGTTTTTGCATGATCATCTGTTTTCATTTCTTTAGGATACATACCTAGGTGTTTAGTTATTAGATTGCATGGTAATTTTATATTTAACCCTTTAAGGAGCTGCCAGAAAATTTACACAGTAGCTGCACAATTTTACAATCTCATTAGTAAGGCATTGAAGTAATGTTGTATTTTCTAAGAACCTGGAATATCTAAATAAATGTGTTAAAAGAGACAAAAGTGCCTTGGTATCACTAAGATATAGTGGTTTTCGTATCTTCTATGAGGTGAAAGGGTTAGCTTTTTTTTCCTAAATTTTTATTTATTCTTATTTTATGAGCATTGGTGTTTTACCTGCATGAATGTATGTCTATGTGAGGCTGTGTGATCCTCTGGAACTGGTGTGAGCTGCCGTGTGGTTGCTGGGAACCAACCCAGGTCCTCTAGAGGAGCAGCCAGTGCTCTTAACTGTTTGAGCCATCTCTTTAGCCTCCAGGACTTTTTTTTCCCATAAAATAGCTTTGTCAATAGAAAGTCAGAGTTCTTCGTGGAACTAGTCTCCTAGTATTGGCCAGTGATTGGTGAACCTTACACCAAACAGGGTTCCAGTAATTCCTTTTACTCTTTTCGATGATTTCTGCAACTTTTTGCAGATTTTTTGCATTTTTATAATGAAATATAAAGCAGAAATTGAAGATATGTGCTGTAAATGTAAGCATAGTCATGTGTTTTAGTTTTACATCTGTATATACAAATACATGGTATGGGTTTGATGTAAAATATTTTTGTACACTATGGGTCAGGATTTAAAAATAAGAACATACAGCTTGAGGGCTGGAGAGATGATGTGGCTAAGAGAACGCACGTCTATCTTTTTAAGTTATTTTTGAAAAAGGGTCTCTCTACATAGCTCCAGACATTCTGAAACTCACTAGGTAGACTGGACCGGCCAGGAACACAACAGAGATCCACCTCTCTCTGCCTTTCTTGGGATCACAGCTGTGCACAACTACTGACAAAAAAACCCACTTCCCTCGAGGAGGACCTGAATTGTTCCCAGTCTGCAATTCCAGCATCAGGGGAAACTACCATTGTATTCTGACGTTCATGAGCACTGCCTTTACATGTACAAACCTATAGATAGACGCACGCATTTAAAAAATAAAATCTTAGCCGATCATGGTGGTGCACTGCTTTAATCCCAGAATTTGGGAGGCAGCAGCAGGTGTATCTCTTAAGAACAGCGAGAGGGAGAGGGGGAGGGGGAGGGGAGGGGAGGGGAAGGGGGAGGGGGACGGGAA